AACAAGCATCTTCGCGCATATTCATGAGCAGAAAGAATAAAGCAGTACTTATTTATTGCAAATCTGACTATATTACGTGGCTTTCAATTTATTTTGATCGTCTGCATGCACAAGGAGTTACTTATTCAGTGTTACTGCGTAGTTCTTGCCGTCTCTTTTGGTTTTCCACATGTCCTTCATTCGTTTGGCACTATATCCTTCACGCTGGAAAGCGTCGACGCCGTGTTCGCGCTAACAGTGTCCAACAGTGCACATAAATAGACGTATGAAGCGGTTTTAGCACCGTTTTTCATACCACGAATTTGACATAAAAATGCTGTAACTGACCAATTATTTCATCTGCGTGACTGAGAAATGTTCCAATGTGCCTAGTACCTACAAATTATTTGTGATATTTGCTTTTATAATCGAGCGCAGCTAGAAAATGCACTCGCTTTTTCCCATAGAAATGCATTACCGGAAGTCAATTTCTGACTGCTTGCTGTCTGCTTCAAAATGCAACAGCACACTAGCGCCACCTGAACCTCTAGCGTTTATTGTAATAACTCTATGGCTACAACTTACAACCATTGCCATAGCCTCCTCTATATTCACAAAGCCTGGCATTTCGACGACGGAGCCGTAGAGCGCCCTGTCGCAAATGGGGATCGCGAGGATCTGGTAGCAGTGGGCATCAAAGAGTTAATTCTCGGGGAACCTGGACGTCAGAGCACAGCTTTCGCAGCGGCGAGGACCCGAAACACACTTGTTCGCTCGGGAGAAGTGTGTTTCGTCGTCTCGCCGCAGCGGGGCGCCAGTCACGTGGCTCTCCTCTCCATCCGTTGTCTGCCGCTCCACCTTTTCCATTTCGGCGGCCGCTTCTCGTGGCGATCTGCCGGGATTTGTCAGTTTACAGGAGGCTATGGAATTGCCAACTCAGTTTCTTGACTGCGACGAACATTAACAGCACGAGTCGACGACCTGTCGATTTGCTCTGGCCAAGAACCAGAAGAGCGGGCGTTGTTGCGATCCTGCGATACTTGTTTCGTTGGTGAGACGAGTAACGAAGTCGACTTCGGTTTTGAACATATTAAATACGACATCTTTTATGATATCGAAAGCCCAAATCTCTTTTACCATGTCGGTACGCCTTGTCCTGGCCACGTTGCTTCTTATAAAAAAAAAAAATCAAATTAATTTTTTTTAATGGTAATGAGAGGTGTTGTGCACGTACATTGAATTACGTTAGCTATTCTCTGTTACAACCTGTCGTGGCAAGTGGGGACAGAAATATGGTCCAAGCGAGCCAATCTGAGCATCGGGGCGCGGCACGTTGCGGCGTACCATCAAAGACGACTTTCCCACTTTCCATCTCTTTGGGCATGCTCCTATACCGTGGAGCGCTATCGCGTGCTTCGCCTCCTCGATCTTATTAGAGAGTTTTAGTAGATCGTGTTTTCAGGCCACGCTAATCGTAGCGGGAGCTCGCGCTGCCACTTCGATGCATGCTCCGAAGCACGCGCTCGTAGCGGTAGCGGACCTTTGAAAACGATCTACTAAAACTCCCTATTGTCTCAGGCGAGCCTTAGCGTTCCCTCTTTGCCAAGTTATGCTTAAACGGGTTATAGCCGGTGCTGCCGATCACCATGATTATCCGAGTTACGATTGCCTAATTGAATAAATAAATGGCTAACAAACACTTCGTGACACGTTTTCACCCCAGATTTGCTGCTACATAAACTTACAATCTGGTTTTGTCATCGAGCGAAGTGCGTAAGCGATAAGCTGGACGATGCCCCGGTCACACGGTAAGATTTGATGCCAGTTCCATCGACCTGCATTATCTGATCGACCAATCAGCGCGCGCCACTTCTAGCGCAGCGCGATGCTCGTAGTCAGAATCGCTAACTGGTGCTCCAATCACCTAATGTCACTTGAGGGGTGTCTCGACGGCAGTATCGTTAGATCCGAGTGAGCGCGCCCAAAATCTTCGATCGAAGCACGCGTTTATTCCAGAACCACACCTTCGTTTATTCCATGACTACTCTTTCGTTTACATATTGACGAGAAAGTGCTGCGTCATCATCGTCTGCTGGTTGGCGGCATTGCACGATCCGGACAACTCCTCTCCGCAAACGATATTCTCGGGTCCGCCCTCTCCTTCAGAAAAGGTCAATGGCTTTGCCACTGGTCGTTCGAGTCAGAGGGCAGAGTGAGCATTCGGGGGCGGCACCAATTCATGCCGGGCTGCTTTTCAATGTGTGATTTGGTCTATGCACGGCCAGCGCTGTCGTTCGCAAAAGCGGGGCCTTACCCTGCATGCATACAACGTGTCCAAAAAAAAAATTTTTTTTTCTTCTTTTAATTGCAAGCTCATTGTTGAAAGCTCAGTCTCCGTCCAAATGTAGCCCAAGCGTGGTCCGGTCCACATGCCAAAGTTTCAGAACCGCTATATTATTCAAAAGTTATAAGTAGGGTTTTGTGCTTTCCGGGTTTATTCGTTCCAAAAAAATATCGGTGTTTTAATGCGAAAGCTTTAACTGTCCCATGAAGCGAACCGGAGTTATCAGCTTTTAAAGACGTGCTAAACGGCACCTATTTTCCCCTGCCCCATGGAGCGAAGCCTGTATACACTATAAGCAGCGAATTGATGGATGAAATTTTCGGTGCCAATTTTCGGTGTCAGTCAAGAAATCTGTGTTTATCGGGTCTTATTTTGAAGAAACAGGACACATGCATGTACAAACTGTGCCCCCCCCCCCCCCCCCCCCCCCCCCCCTTTTCCGGCCAGATTTTTTTTTTTTTTTTTTTTTTTATTATAGGTTAGGCATTGTTCATTCATTCTTCGTCCAAACGTAGCGCTAGAGGTCCGCGCACAAGAGGCCAAAGTTTCAGAGCCAATATTTTATTCAAAAGTCGTAAGTGATTATCCGAAACTTTCAACGGGAAAACGGGGCCCATTTTCGCCCGTTTTCGTCTGTCACCATTTTCCCATCAAAAATTTCGGAAAATCACTTATAACGTTTAAATAGGATATCGGTTCGGGCTGAAACTTTGGAATCTGTTTCGTACCTGGCGGTGAATGAGCGTTTGGCAAAGCGTAATTTAATTTTAAAGGAAATAAAAACATTACATTTTTTCCTTCTTTTTTTTTTTTTTGGGAGGGGGGGGGGGGGGAGGGGAGGTGAGGTGAGAGGGGGGAGGCGGGGGAGCACCCCGTACATTTTTTATCCTCCAGAGAACATACGCGTGTACAGACAGAATACATGGTAAACGCCCGGGTACCTCTAATTAAAAAAATAATAATAATAACAATAACGAAGTCTTGCGGACAGTTTAGTGTGGGTGTGTTCAAGGTATAACACAAAAAAAGTTATTTTTTTCTTCTTTTTTTAAGCTATAAGTCTTTTGTTGTTGTTTTCTTTTTTTATTTTTTTAGCGAGGAAAATATTTTTGTTTGGGGCTTTTCGGTTTTTTTTTTGTTTTTTTTTATTTTGATCAAAACGGTTCGGGGCTAATTTTCCAAGTTTATTGGTACTTACCAAAAACAAAACAAAAACAAGAAAAAACAACATGGAACCTTTGTTATTCGTGGTTTTCTGAAACTTGAAATGAGTAAATGAGCTCCCGTTTTCCCAGTAAGCCGAAGCCATTCATCTCCGTGTTTTTGTGTGCTTCGTCGGCTACCATTTTCTCATCGAAATGTATTTCCAAAAATCGCTTAAAACTTTCGAAGAAGACGACGGTTCGTGCTATAACTTTGCCATCTGGTTCCACCGCTTGCGCGACATGTGGCCGAGAAATGGGTGTTTGGCGACGCACAGAGTTTATTTTCGCGGTGTGGAAAACACTGTAAACTCTTTCCTTCGTCACCATGTGCACACCCATTGCGCGTCCAAAGAGGGGGGGGGGGGGGGGGGGGGGGCGTCAATTTGCGTTAAAATTAGCCATCGACCTGGCAGGGAAGCTGTGTTTATAGATTCTGGCCGATCCGCGTGGCCCCGTTCGCCGTGGTCGGTCGGGCATTTTGCGGACACCCGAAACTCTTTTTTCGGTCGGCTGCGTCTGGGAAGCATGGTGGAACAATCCAGCACTAGTACTAAGCGCTCGTTATCTAGAAGGTACTACGTTGTTTGGAGCTCCGCAACCTGAGGGGAGGGGGTGACGTTAGCAGGGGCGGATTTAGAGGGGGGGTCCGGATGTCCTCACCCCCCTCTTGATTTTTACATGTGTAAAATTTTGGGGCGTAAAACAAGGCAGAGGGGGAGGGGGTTCCTACACATATGGTACGCTGACCAACACCTGACCCCCCCCTCAGGAAATTCCTGCATCTGCCTCTGGACGTTAGGCTCATTTGAAACTCGTCGAACATATTCGGATGTCCCTATTAACTAAACCCATATATTACACTTCCTTGGAATGGAATCGCGATTGAAAACACTCTTACAAGAATCTTTTTTTTTTTTTTTTTTTTTTTCAACGAAATGTTTGCGATTAATACGGAGTTTCTATAACGCATTGCGGAAGAGACGTTATTTCCCAGAGAAAGGACGTCATAGAAAACAACAGTATAGGTAGGTATCTCTAGAGGCTTTTTTTTTTCTTTTTTTCGTGTGTGTCGACTTTTCTTTTTATTTTATTTTTTATAGGCGTCGTAGAGCAACTCTGCCAGATATCATTCGCACCGTAATTATGTTTCACTATTCACTTATAATACAAATTCACACCCCCGCTACCTTACGCGTGCCTTATTGGGCTGAAGTGTTAGAACCAACGTCCGGTGATACGGTACCGGAAAAAATGTATCACTTTTTTTTTTCATTCATTCGTGCGATCAGTATTTGTATCTAATCAGCATCTGCATCTAAACAAAACAACGTGACGTAATTTTTAACGGAGAATTTCTGGAACCTCACGACCATCAAGGCCCGCACACTTGACAACCAAAGCCACACAACACACAACTTGGTGCACCGACAAGCTCAAAACAACCGGAGCTACGGGGGCTATACGAATCGTACCTTGATGTCGTCGACGGGTTCGGCCTTAACTCTGACCGGCGGAGGCTGCGGGGGCGGACGACGGTGTCTCGGACGTCGCTTGCTGGACGATTTCTCGACCAGAGCGGTGCCCGCACTCATCGCTCGTGACCGGGCAACTTTTGGTCGGGGCCCGGCGCCCGTGCGACGAGAGGCACTCGGAGACGAAGGACCGTTCCTGTCGCAACACTCTACGGCGTGAAGCGACCAGTTTCCGACAGGCGCGCACACATCACGTTCTTCTGTTTCCGTCAAGATCCCACGGTTCTTCAATATCCCTGCGAGAACCGCCGCCGCAATTGAGAGAAATGCTCGCGTAGATCCGAGTTTCTTTGGAAGCCGAGCGTGCAAGCCCAACGGACTGCAAGCAGACGAACGGCAGACGACGCACGACGCAGGAGCGGGGGAGCGGACCGGAAGTGGCGGGAAGGGCGCTGTCGGCTGCGTGGAGAGAACATCCGGTTGATGGGGGCGCCGCGCTAAACTGGAGCGGTGGCGGGTGGCAACGGAGTTTGTTTCGGTTTCGGTCGTTTCGGCGCGTGTTCTTTGGGCGCCCGATTCGAACGTTCCGTTGGGAGTAATGTTACCGACGGGGTTCTCAGGCTCGTTCGTGCGACTTAATATTATTATTATTGACTAATAAACTTTGTTATGATGAATGTTTCGATCATTGTTTGGTATGGAAGAAGCGATATGAATCGAGATAAACATTTCGGTCGGACCTGCATTTAGGTTCGCTTCCGACAAAAGAGAATGGAATGGTCACCTCAGTTTCTGCGAGTTTTCTATAGTACACATTAAGAGAAAAAAATCACGAAGAAATCTGACGAGAAGTAAAAATTTAGTAATATTTTGTGCCGTGGTTTATATACGCGCTTTTGGGCACATAATAAGATCAGCCTGAAACAACACGTGCGCAAACTCAAGCCGCTTCAGACCCAACATGCAGATTCACTCCAGGAAGAACAAGTCGTATCTTATTTCCCTAGCTCCTATATTAAACCTATTCGCGCGAGCCTCCTAGCAGTAGAGCTTGCAGCAAGTCAGTGCCACTAAGTAGAACCATATTACCACATTCTCCCTACCCCGTTGTCTGCTCGATAATGGGGACCTCTAGCAAACCCTTGCCGTGCTCTGCGTACCGCACTACCGGAGCCTTTGAAGCATGTTTTTGAGCGCGCGCCCAGCGGTCCGTAGTGCGGTACGCCCGACACAGCAACGGTTTGCTAAAGGTGCCTAATACTACTCGAGGCATGCCGTGTTTTCAGGTTCGGGTAAATCACGGACACTTGATATCACGAGTCGATCAGTGTGTTCACTTGAATCAATATTTATCTTCGCCTCAAGTTTGCTTCACGCAAACCTGGAACATGCCTGCCTTTTGCACGAACAATGTGACCGCCACACAAGGATCACCTCAGACAGTGTCTGGGCTCTGCAGGCTGTGTTTTGTACGAGCAGTGTGAACCGCGGCTTAAAGCCGGGCTCACACTGCTCATACATCATACAAAAGACAGACTGCATAGAGATTCGAAAGCGAGTCACCGCGAGACCCGTGCTTCGAATGCCGAGTGGCCATGAGTTCGGGGAGTGGCAGGCGGCATTCGAACCGCGGATACTGCGGTGACTCGTGCTTGCAGACTGTCTTTGGTATGGTGTATGAGCAGTGTGACCCCGGCTTTAAGGCTAATTGGACGGTTTCTTTCAAGTGGTTCCTACTGCATCTAAGACTGTTTCGGTCAGCGACTGCATCACGAGAAGCGCACGCTGTCTCGTCCCGCCAATGCGTCGTGCGCGAGACGATCGCATTTTACTCCAGATGGTGGTATATAAGACCGAGAACATTAGATAGTCCGCTCTGGTCCGCGCTAATTAGCGAATCGCTGTTAGAATCGCCGAGGGGCGAAGACGTCAGCTCAGCGCACGCACGCACACAGGCGTATAGTACGCGATCTCGGTTCCAGCCAGTCTGGACTCTGGTTGCTCTCGTGCCGGCGGCGGAGTCGAGTACGGAGTCTGCAGCTCGGGTGTCGCGGGAAGCGTTGCTTGCGCACGGAGCTGGTCGGTGTCCCGTTACCCGGCTCCCACAGATCGGCTGGCCGCCCCGCAAGAAAAAAGAAAAAAAAAGAGCGCGGAATATTCGTTGCTGCGGCATCGCATCTCGCGCGTCGGCCCCCTGTCCTTTCTCTTCGGGATCCGCACCGCACTTCGTTTCGCACATGAGATGGACCGCTGCGAAAGCCACAAACCACCGGAGCCAATCAAGAGCTCGGAACTTGTCACGTGACCTCCTCGTTAGGCGGGGCGACGCGCGGGGAGCGCGAGTTCACGTGGCAAGCGGGCAGCGCTCGACTAGCTGGGATAGGGCTGGCTGATTCCGCCGTGTTCCATGTATCTTACGGTAAAAGAGAGTTTAATTATTTTTATATATCGCGGGCACTTTTCATCGTCGAATACGTGGTCTCCAAAGAGGAAATAATCGAAAAATACGCGGATGGAATGAACCGTATTTGATCGAATGAAACAAAAGTCTACGCAGCCGCCGAAAGACGAAATCTTTGGCCAAAACGGGATTCGAACTCCGGGGCTCCAAATATCAGGTCGGGTGTGCAAACTACTACACCACTCCCGTCTCCGCCGAAGATTCGGTCTTTCGGCGACTTCGTAGACTTTGTTTCATTCGATGTGTATATATATATACTTCTGGCCAGGGCGTTGCCTGGGAGCAGCTCTCTTCTACACGGAGCCCGTGTGCCTTACACCATTGCACCTTACCATGGAGTTCAGCGGACGCAGCAGTGCAATGCCGCATGACGGTCACGTGCCTGACGGGGTCTGCGACGGATTACTTTCGCAGCGCTGGGACTGGCAGGGGCGGCCCGTAGCGTCTCCGCCGCAGTCCATGCACTGCCTTCGTGGGGCGAGCAGGAAGCCCACTGGAGGCCGGCCAGAAAGGCGACGCTGCCGCCGTGTGCGGGTCGGGTGTTGTGTGGACGTCGGCGAGGTTCGGTTTACGCGCCGCGCGAGAAACCGCCGGCGCCCGTATATGCGATCGGTGGCCCCCTGGAGTCGTCCATTTTACCCGCCGATTCTGGCCGCTTATTGTGCAACTGCCCGCGCTTACCTCCTATAAAAGGCGTCGTTTTGTCACCGCCGTCGGCGTATACCGCGAATTTCGCGGTTCCGGCCTCTGGCACGCCCGCAGCGGGGGACGGAGGATTCATTTCGACGTGCACATACTAAAAAAAAGGATGTAGTCCTTACACCCCTTCTCACGTATATGACACCCCTAAACTTAAGGCCACGGTCCCACTGAATGTGGCAGTTTCGGTACTTTTTGGCAGGTCATTACTCATCCTCTTTTGAATACTGTTTTGTGGGATTGATGTCGCTCGAAGGGCAAAGTAATCCTCTTTCATTTGATATTATGTATGTATTGGTTTATACTGCTCATGCGCATTTGTAGCGTTGCGAATATGATGGCGCGGACCCTCACTTGCTCCGCTAGTTCATGTTTCATGAACGATCCATTAAAGATAACACGGTTCCAATATGGCAGTTTTGTTAAGATGATGTCGGAGCAGATTGTAACGGCATACTTTTTTGGTATTTGCACTACTTTGTTTTGTTCATCTCTCTAAATATTGCCCTAAAATTGTAATTTTTCAGCACAAATATGTTTTTAATGACATGCGCTAGGGCAAAGAAATTAGCTTCAGATGTAGTGCTGATAATTGGTAATATGCAGAAAAAAATTTAATTTTGTGTACATTTTTTTTGTTTAGATATTTTATATCAAACGTAGCACTTTTTTTGTACTTTGAGTCATCGTACTTCAAATGCCGCTGAGGAAATAATTAAACTATGATAAAATATTTAATAAAATTTAGATCTACAATGGTTGCCCAAGAGGTGGACGATGGCTTTCTTCATTTTCAAACTTATAACGCTCCAGGAGCCCTTCAAACTTAACCTGTTTTTGACACATATCTTTTATGGACATCAAACAGATTTATTGATACCTAATAACAGTTATTGCATGGAATAGGTATACATTGCGATGTATTCGATTTTCACAATGATCTTGCTTTGGTTTCTTGATAGGTGTAAAGCTTAGTTAATATTAAAAACAATTGAGAACTGTTTGGGTGTTTTGTTGCGCTACCTGCCGGATGACAGGCAAAACTGCTGATATCTAATGTTCAAGAAATTTTCGAGGGCAGCGTTGGCATCTCTATCATCATCAATGTTCGTGCCTGTTTACCTTCACATTTAGAAAATATGTTCGAAGGCTTACTATTGACACATGAATGGTTGAAGTACTGGGTCAGGTTAATAAATCTAAGTTAAATAATTACACAAGCGTAATGTGATATAATGTGTTCATTATTCGATATAATTGAAATCGATAAACAATAAAGACGAAAAGGAAAAGAATACACCCGAGTTCACTTTGTGCCTAGAGACACTAAATGAGCTGCGCTTAGAGTATCGGCACTCTGTTCCCCAACGATGTTGTGGGCGCCGCCATTTTGGGTCTTGTGCAGAGCAAACGCAACTACCGATCGTCATGATTCAAAAGTGCGACTTCCTCAGCATTAGATCCGGTGACAGGAAGCTGATGCAATATTGCTTTGCTCTGTCGCGGACTGTTTAAACATTTGTGGAGGACGGAAAAGCGTTTCCTGTGATTTTAGATCAAGCTTCAGATAACTGGCAACCATGATTTTAAGCCACAATAGTGTTGTTACTCTGAAGCATAGCTTTTTTAATGACACTATTCATGCCCTTGTTCAAGGAGATTGTAATACCTGAAGGGGTCATGACTTAAGCCCCGTGGGTTCCACAAGCCACTACCTTTTGACACCTGCCTCTTCCTCATTCTTCCCGCTAGTGCCACTAATGGTGAATTCCACTCGTAGATCTGGAGCGCTTTCCAAAATCCGCGAGGGAGGCGAAATTCCGCTCCGTGGGACCCGCTCCGAATCGACGAAGGGAAGGTAAACTTGCATTTTTGGAGCGACCTCCCCCACACCCCTCCCAACCCCTTCTCCCTCCGCCGTACAAAATGGCCGCTGCTCGAACTTGACCAGCCCACCAACGCCTCAGCCGGCTGATCTTTCCGACGACCAGTGACGACTGTCACTGCTTAGCTGCAGAAGTAACATGCGACACAGGCCGGGCGAAATTATACGTACCACGGCGCCCATATCACAAATACGAAGACGTCCGCGTTCGGCACCGTCACGTATACCTTTCGGCCGCCTCGAAGCGGCGGTTCACGGACAGCGATTGCCAGCGGTGGAGTTCAGATTTGTAGTACGACTTTAATAAACCCAGAGGTAACAAACCATCACTTGCGCGGTCGTTGCCTAACTACTTTGCTTTATTTCACGGGAAAACGCCGACGGAATG